AAAAAAAAAAAAACTATCTTCTTGGCATTTCTTTTCTATCATCTTTTCTTAGAAGAATACTAAGAAGTAGAAACTATAACTGAACCAATCAGCATGCACATTCACTAGTAAATATGATCTTAGGTAAATCATTGACCATAGGGTCTCCCTATTTCTATCTGTGAAATGGGTGAAATGTCATAGGGTTGTTTTAAAGTATTAAGTGCAATTATGCAAGTAAAATTCATAGTACTGTCACACTCTGGTACATAGGAGGTGCTCCTAATTGTTAGTATTGTAGTTGTTAATGACAGAAATCATTCTGATAAGTCCTTGGGTGATCTAACAGTTTAGGCAAGCTCTGAAGCCAGCACAGATTCAGTAAGGAATAACATCTCTTTCCAAGGTCACCAAGATTCTCTGAGTAGAATAGGACATCCAAAGTTCAGTTTTAGGAGTTCTATATTAATTGTCCCTCCCTTAAAAAAACCCCAGTATACGTTCTCAAAGAAGAACGTTGCAATTAAGAGGTGCTTGAGAAGTAGTGATATTCCTTTCTTTTGAAAACCTGTACCATTTTTTGGCTTTGTTTATTTTGAATAAACATATGAATGAAGTCCCTACCCTCTAGTAAACCCTAAATTTTTTTTAAAATTCAAACTATTCTATCTACATCTCTACTAGTAAATTGGATACTTAAAGTCAAGTAAGAGAGAAATTCAGGTGCTTAACAATTAAAAACGCCAACAGAGTGTTCATAAAGAATAAAGAGGAAGAGTTTTCTGAAAAGATAGTTTAGTTGTACTTTTTCAGTCTCTGCAGATCCGTTCATAAAAACAGTGTGGAAGAATATCAAAACCAAAAAACATATTATATAGACATCTACAACAGAATCTACATGGGTGGGTAATGGATAAACTGCCAGCTAGTAGATCCACGTGAGGAAAAAGTGAAGGGAAACAAAAGGAGCCAGAAAAACACAAAATTGCTGTCAGATATTCCATGGATAGCTTAGAAGGGCATTCTGGGAACCACAGCCAAAACTAGGGGAGGCCTTTGTGGACTCCAATTCAAAGTTGAAAACAGAGGAGTCACATGAAAGTTGTCACTGTACTGGCAATATCTGGGAGTCTGGGCCCAAAGAACACTCAAAACTAATAAACCAAAGCTCCCTTCTAAGTAAAAGCACCAGACTAAGTCTAAACTGAGAAATAGAGGAACACTAGGAACAAAGGAAAGAGAAGGTCTAAGTGAAGGAGAAGGGCAACGGAGGTAGAAGCTCTCAGAAAGATCATGGTCATATTTTCCATCATTTCATAAAAACCACTGAAGAAGGAGCTTTATGCCATTAAATGAGAAAAGTTATTCTAATCTATTTCTTCCTCCTATAAGTATACAGGCAGTCTCCGGATTAAGTGAGTTCCATTTCTTAAGTCTGTCTTTAAGTCAAATTTGTAAGTAAGTTGAAACAGGTGCGGTTCATATCTAACATCAGTCAAATGCCTGTCTTAGTATACAGTATAACTTTCTTTGCATAAGAAAAAATAAAGAAAAACTTCCAGACACACTAAAACATCTTTAACATAATAATAACAATGTTTTGATGTGCGTCACAAAGTAGCGCCCATTTGTTACTACGAATGTACCTTGAATTTTTAATATAATAGGCTTTACTGGGGTTAGTTCATAACTTCGGATTGTATGTAAGTCAGACGTTCATAACCCAGGGACTGCCTCTATAAGATTTTCCTACTCAAAAATGTAAAACAGTATAGGACACGAAATAAATCTCATATAAATTAAATGTATGAAATAAAAGAGAGTAAAGAGTAAAATAATGCCCCTACAGGCATAAGTGCACATCAGAAAGACAAGTTCACAAAATAGATGAAAACAGTCACCCAACATTTAAAAATAAGCTAAAAGAAATTAAGAAAATGATAGAACTATAACAGTCAGAGCTGGAATAACTCTTAAACACAGTGATTAGAACAGGAAAAAATGAAAAGATAATTCATTTCTGAAATAAAGGTTAATCAGAAAGGACACAAGAGTGAGTAAACACAACCAATAATGCCTTAAGAGAAAAAGAATACGGAAAGTAAGAAAATTATTAAATGAAAAAGGAATTAAGACATTAGAAAATTCAAGAGAGCAACAACAAAAAGACAAATAATCCAATTACAAAATGGGCAAAGAATATTAACAGACACTTCACCAAAGAAGACATTCAGACAGCTAACAGACACATGAAGAAATGCTCGACATCATTAGCCATTAGAGAAATGCAAATCAAAACTACAATGAGATATCATCTCACCTCAACATTACTGGCACTAATTTAAAAAAAAACAGAAAATAACAACTGTTGGAGAGGTTGCAGGGAGATTGGAATTACTCTTATGCACTACTAGTAGGAATGTAAAATGGTACAACCACTATGGAAAACGATATGATGTCTCCTTAAAAAGCTAGAAATAAAAACACCATATGATTCAGTAATCCCACTCCTAGGAATACATTCTAGAGAAATAAGAGCCGTCACACTAATAGACATATGCACACCCATGTTCATTGCAGGGTTATTCACAATAGCAAAAAGATGGAAACAACGTAAGTGTCCATCAATAGATGAATAGATAAACAAATTATAGTACATACACAATGGAATACTACACAACAATAAAGAATGATGAATCTGTGAAATATCTCACAACATGGATGAATCTGGAGGGCATTATACGGAGTGAAATAAGTCAATCACAAAAGGACAAACACTGTATGAGACCACAATTACAAAAAACCCAAGAAGAGTTTTGCACACAGAAAAAACAATCTTTGATGGTTATGAAGGAAGGGAGGAGCGGGGAGGGGAAATCACTAACTTGATAGTCGACAAGTGGTAACTTAAGTGAAGGAAAATACAACACACAATACAGGGGAAGTCAGCACAACTTGACCAAGGCAAAGTCACAGAAGCTTCCTAGATACATACAAAGATTTTGATGGACTAAGTTACTGGAGCTGAGGGCTTGGGATCATGGTCTCAGGGGATATCTATGTCATCCGGCATAACATAGTTCATAAAGAAAATGTTCTACACCCTGCTTTGGTGAGTAGCATCTGGGGTCTTAAATGCTTGCAAGCGGCCATCTAAGATACATCTATTGGTCCCATCCCATCTGGAGCAAGGGAGAATAAGGAAAGCCAAAGACACAAGGCAAATATTAGGCCAAAGGATTAATGGACCACATGAACCACAGCCTCTACCAGCCTGAGCCCAGAAGAACTAGATGGTGTCCAGTTACCACCACTGACAGCTCTGACAGGGATCACAATAGAGGGTCCGGGATGGAGTGGGAGAAAAATGTAGAACAAAATTTAAATTCACGCAAAAAGACCAAACTTACTGGTCTGACACAGACTGGAGGAACGCTTGATGACTATGGCCTCCAGACACCATGCTAAATCAGACCTGTCACTCTCAAAGTCCACCTTTCAGCCAAAAATTAGACAAGCCTATAAAACAAACAATACACGTGAGGAATGTTCTTCTTAGTTCAGTCGTCACTCTTAAGAGACTGCTGAGATGGCTACAATCTTCTTTACAGCTTTGGATTGCTGCTCCTAATGCTACTACAGTGGTTAAGAGCTCGGCTGCTAAGCAAAAGGTGGCAGTTTGAATCCACCAGCTGCTCCTTGTAAACCCTATGGGGCAGTTCTACCCTGTCCTATAGGATCGCTATGAGTCAGAATCGATTCGACAGCAATGGGTTTGGTTTTTTTTTTGTTTGATCTAGTGGGGCTTAGAAAATTTCAGATTCTAGGACATATCCCAGAGAAAAGAGTTCACTAAATTTTTACATATTGCAGGAATCTACATTTTTAACAGCTCATAGATCGAGTATAACACTGAATTTTGGGAACTAACAGTCTCTACTACCTAACATTGTCACACCACTGTCTCAACTTATCATTGAAAGTGTAATTATCATTACGGTTCTTATTTATTGAGAACTTACTACACGCCAGATGCTTTTCTAAGCACTTTAAAAGTATTATCTTATTTAAACCTCCCAATAACTCTATAATGTAGATGTTACTAATTAGCAATGAAGTCTACATCTAAGCCCAGACAATTGGATATCAGAGCCTCTTCTGTTTCCTACTGTGGTATCAAGATAAATTACACAGCTAACTAAAACAAGCTTTTTTCCTTCTGCTTTAGACTAGAATTATAACATGTTTGTTGTTAATAAGTCATCACATGTTGATCATAAGGTATGACTGGCAGTTATATATTTTAATGAAAACAGAGAAACTAATTATAATAAAATCAGTTTGGCAAATAAAATATTTCAAAACACAAGGTCATCATAAAAATGAATAAAAGGTCCTTTGTGGTAAAACCAAAAAAACAAACCAAACCCGTTAGCACTGAGTCAATTCCAACTCATAGCAACCCTACAGAACAGAGCAGAACTGCCCCCATAGGGTTTCCAAGGAGTGGCTGGTAGATGCGAACTGCTGAACTTTTGGTTAGTAGCCGTAGCTCTTAATCACTGCATGACCAGAGCTCCATTAAAAGAGTTGTAAATAATTCCTCTAGAACCCTTCACTTATTTATGCTTCTTCCATCTCCTTGGCCCTAATATTAGATATGAGTTTAATCAGGAAGTTGAGTGGTTGTGGCTATAAAGACGAGTCTTATTCTTAGACTGGAGGAATGTAGTATTAGACAGGGCTTCCTAAAACAAGTCACACTGAATGTGACTATGAATCTTAAAGGTTAAATAAGACTCTGGGGTTGAGATAAGGGAGAAAAATCCAGTAGAGGGATAGAGAAGGGGATAGAGTATATTTCAAGTCATAAGTGTCAGCATACCAAAGAATTTTATCAAGCCAAAATGATAAGAAAATTAGGTTTGACAAATTTCTATGCTTTCCCAAGGCCGATATCTTTATACTACAATCTGTGGCAATAAAATAAAGTTCATTAAAGTCAGTATTTGAATACTTACTTTCAATTCATTTTTTAGCATTTCTTCAAGAAGACCTACATGTTCATTTTCTTTTGTGCCCATAACGATGCAAATCTGCTGTGAAATCCTTTCTGAGATTTAAAAAAAAAACAAGAATGTTAAGCTTCAAACAAAACAAAACAAACTCTAGTCTGCTGAAACCTGCGCTCACCTGCTGCTCATAATTGTTGAACAAGAATAGGGAGGTCTTGGTTTCAGGCCAAGTGGAGTGACCTGTACTACATACTGAGATGCCCTTGACCCTTTTCAACACCCAAGTCAATAAATCTGTGTATTAAACACTTTGTAGGTGGGTAACTAGGCTATTGTGTAACCAACACAAATAGGAGATCCTAGGATACATTGGAAGGGAGTAACCGGAGGTGACGGTAACTGGAGGTGACAGCTATTTGGCTCGCCAATTCAACCCTTCCACATTTGTAGAGAATCTCCCAGAATCTGATAGAATCCCACCTCCCAGGTAGATCCTCCCTTTAGGCTATAAGAGGTCTCCTGTGTGCAGACTCACTGCGCCACCTTGTGCCCTCGCTAAGCACATTTTCCTTGTCATTCCTCTAGATTCAGTCAATCCAATACAATTACATTTCTGCTTATTTGACTATTACCACATCAAATAAAAATGGCCAAATGAATTTTCTTCAAATTTGGAAGGCTTATTTGAGATGATCTAATTTACAAATATAAGCTGTGTGACATGGTGATATTCACTTTTGGAAACCCTGGATGCATGCTCCCAAAAGATGTGTAATCTCTAGTAGGCAAATCTGAGATACTAAGGCATATCGATATGGCTGACAGTTAAGGGGACATTCCATGGTATTATGTGATGGATAAAGACCACAAAGACTAATTTCAAATAGGAGTCCCGAATCAAAAGTTAGTTTGATGAATTTTGGGCCGTGTTGCTCCTTACCTGGTCAATTCTACATAAGATGCTCTATATAACTACTAATTTAGCAGTAGTTAATGATTCTTCAAGCAAAGCTGGGGAGAACAGAACATTTAAAATAACAACAACATCAACTAATACTACTGCTTTTACAAACTACCTCTCACTTATCAAGAACATTATATGTTCCAGGAGCTATATGCTATATTAATTCTAATTCTCATGACAATCATACAAGAGCAATATTAGTTTTTCCAATGTAACAGATTCAGGAACTCTTGATTTCAAAGAAATAATTTGCCCAAGATCTCAGAGTTAGCTGTGTAGTAAAAGGATTTAAATCCAAGCGAATTAGGCCCATAAACAACTATTCTACAGCACTAGAATGAAAAAAGAGGGAAAAGGCATCCAACGTTTATTAAATATCAAACATTTTTACATGAAAGGTCGTAGTGCTTTCATAGTTATTATTCCATTTAATGTCTCCAAATAACTGTGTCTTATTAACTAAGTATTAGTTTTCACTAACAAGTGTATTTAAAACCCAGGTCATCCCAAGCTCATGCTTTTTTTTGTCGTATGGCCTACTCCATAATAATTACTGTAAAAGAATGTGACATAATCTTCATTTTCTTGTACCTTACAAATTCAAGAAAGCTAAATAAATATATGTAAACAAAATAGTTCAAATGGATTGAGAGGACGTCTCTGTTCTGGATATAGGTCTACTAGAGTTGACTGTATTATCTTAAAATCATTTAACCTCTTTAGGACTCTGTTCACAAATCTATAAGGTTTCCACCAACTCTAAAATATCTATAATTCTAAGTTATATAATTGTAATTAAATTCAATGTAATTAAGAACATAAATGAATGGCCCAGACATTAGTACTATGGAACGTCATTGGGGTAAAAAATATAAACTGGTTAATGATATCAGCTAAAACGTTAGAAATAAATGAGCTAGGAGCTCACTCTTGAAAGATAAGTAGGTTTTGCTTCGGAAAGGGGAATAGGAAACTTTGGAAGTATTTACGAGGGATAATATAAAGAAAAAAATTTTTTAATGTTTTGAGGAATAGAAGGAATATGGGCATGAATACAGTGTGACCAAGAAACAAGAGAATTACTTGAAAATCATGGAATGATTTAGTGAACAATAAAGTGGGACACTCACTGGGGTCAGTTCACAGAGGCCCCTTGCTATCTTGGATTCTAGAATGTCCCAGAAGCTTTAGATCAGCGGACAACTCCTAAAAGCAATGACCTTTAAAAAGGAACTTAATTTAAACTTATACAGAGTGAAATGACATATTTGCAGAAATTTGGGCTTTGTAATATCCTAACAAAAATCCACACAGTTATGTTTCCAAATGCTTTTCACATACACACACACACAAAATTAATTATATCAATCAAAAAAATTTTGAATAAGTAAATATAAAGTAATTTACTAAATACAACCATTAATGTGATGACACCACAATCACTTTGACAAATTTATAAAATGATGCATAAAGTTAAGAAAATTTTTAAAACAAAACACATCATATGCAGTGGCTTTCCTCTCTCTTGTTTCATTATAAATTCTACTTTACATAATTCCAGGCTCTACACAAGGAAATCAACAGTAATAAGAGTAAATTAAAACCAACATGTATTACCACTACTCTCCAAAACCAAAAATAATATAAAAGTAAATCAAAATAATTCAAAATCTACTTGGCATTCATCCTTCTTCAGCTCTTCTAAATAGAAAAAAAAATTTTTTAAGGAATCTTTGCATTATCATATACATTTTACAATCAATTTTCACAAAAAATACCTGCTGAGTTTTGGAGAAATGACATCTATAAAATATCAAGCCTTCCAAACCCTGAACATGATATATTCCCCCATATACTGAGGTCTTCCTTAATGTCTCAGTAATGTTTCACAGTTTTCTGTGTGGACTTCTTGTACAGTTTTTGTTATATTTATTCCTAAGTATTTTTTTATTCTATTGTAAACTGGTATTTTTATTACTCTTCTTTGCTATTTTCTTTCTGCTACTATATTTATGTTTAGCTTGCTGTTCTTTCCTAATTTCTTTAAAAAGATGCTTAAATTGTTGATTTCTAGCTGTCTCCATTTTCTAGTATTTATATTTAAGGCTCTAAATTCCCCCCATTAGCAGCTTTAACTCTACTCAAGCCTTTTGACATTTTTCATTCAGTTTAAAGTACTTCGTTTTCAGTTTATTTCATACATTTAAAAGATATCATTCATTTTCTTTCACATTAAGACATTTTTAAATTTCTATTATGATTTCTTATAGTTTAGAATTATATTGATTTTATTAGATTCCTATTGCTGCATAGCAAATTACCACAAATTTAGCAACTTAAAATAACATCCATTGAATAGTTCACAATTCTTCATGTCAAAAAGGAGAGTGAAATAGAGAGTACACACAAGGAAACAGTAAAGCAAATGGGGCAAAATGTAAATAATTGGTGAATCTAGGTAAAAGATATATGAAAGTTATTTATACTATTCTTGCATCTTTTCTTTGAGTTGAAAGCATACCCAGAGAAAAACTTCCCCCACAAAAAAAATTGGATGCAAGGAAAAACAGAAGAAAATACACTAATATTAGGAACATTTAAAATTCACCTCTCTCTCTTCACCAAAGATCAAGTAAGAAATATATAAATAAGGATTTAGATTCAAGGCAATGTAACATAGTCATTAGTAAATAAGATGGATCTTTTATCATGCTGGTTTCTGTATTGAATTACTTCTAGTAATGTCAAGCTAGTGGTCTGTGTCAGACTCACCACATTCTTAAAGTGTCTATGATTTATCTGTATGTTTTTATAACTAACTATGGTAAATTCTCAATCTGCTGATTTAAAGCTTAGATTAGGTGTAACATTTTTTATCAGTTCTCTAATTCATGGGTTCTCAATCCTGGGTGCATATCAGAATCATGAGTATCTTTTTGTTTTGCTTTTATATTTTTCAAACACATATGCCTAGAACCCACCCAGCAAGACTCTGGTTTCTCTGACCAGGGTAGCGCCTGGACATCTGTATTTCTGGGATATTCCACAAGTGATTCTGATGTACAGCCAGCTTGACAACCTCTGCTTGGTTGCTGTGCTGATTTTCTACAATATGGGGATTATAAATGTTTCTCTATTTTAAAAAAACAAAAATACAAATTGCCAACTATAGCTGATTAGTTCCCCCAAAATGGTATAGCTCTTTTTTGGGGTAACACTGCATTTTCTCTAAGGTCCTCCCACACACTGTAGTAACCAGAGGATGGAAATTTCAGGGACAAATAAGTGTTAAGTCACTCATTGCACAGCTGAAGACATATTTCTGTTGTAAAACTGTCAAAGAAACCCAAACCCACCCAATTCCTACTTTCATCTGGATGGCTCGCCAGGGCTTTACAGTTCAGGCGTTCCATATTATAAAGGTGACATAAACAAAGAACTAAAAAAAGCAATGCATATTTATCAATAAAAGAGATAGAGAACTTTACAGACATTCAATAATATTTGTTAAATTTTTTAGGGTAATACAGTTTTTAAAAATTGTATACCAATTGAATTCAATATCTCAACATATGATAAAAGTAGTATATTAAAAACCTAACTTGTGAAATAAGAAGAGAGAATAATGATCAATTTCTATTCAAAGTCAAATATTCTCTAAGGAGTTTATAAATATATATAAAAGAAAGGCAGAAGACAAGGGATAATAAAAGACCCCACATTATGAGACTTTAATAAGAATTAAATGAGTTAAATATAGTGCCCAGTGTAAGTAAATACTCAATGAATACTGGCAGAATTATTATTTTTGTTATTATTCTTATATACATTCAATAAGAATATTGGTTAAGATTCCTTTTGTTTCCTCAAAAATGACCCATCTCTAACTTCAAAAGGTCTCTCATGGCCTTAATATTTCAAGACTTGGTAAATAATCCATATCAACTTAATCCCATTAAGCTTTATTTTCAAATTTCAAAGTTCCACCAAATATGCAGTGGTTATATATAATAATGAATCACACATCTTGGTTATAGTTCTATGTTTTCATCTTTGAATTCCTTCAAAACTAATTTGACTAGTCTCTGGTTCTGATTATTCATATCTTACTTTGTCCACTCGGTATAGGCTGGA